ACATATAGTATAGAAATGCAATGAAATACTATTGTGCTATGAGAAATAATGAAAGAGATGGTTTCAGAAAAACCTGTTAAGATTTGTATGAACTGATGCAGAGTGAACTGAACAGATCCAGAACAGTTTACACAGTGGCTGCAATATGGTAAAGGCAAACAACTTTGAAAGAATTAGAAAATCTTATCAATGTAATGATCAACCACAATTCCAGAGGACTAATGATGAAACAGGTTGCTTATGTCTTGATGGAGAGATGAAGGACTCAGTACAGAATGAAACAAAATCTTTTAGGACATGCTAATGTGGAATTTTGTTTTGATCGACCATACATACTTGTAAAGGGTTTCCATTTTTTAAAAAAATAGCCATATAACTCATTACACAACACACAAAAGCATAATGAAGAGCAAAGTATGGGAGGGGGGTAAGGTGCTAACTGGAAAAGAAAAGGGTGTGCCAACATCATAGGGATGGCTATAATTCAAGGAGTGTGTCACAAAAGACAAAGGAGGTGGGAAGAGGCAAGAAGAAGAATATATAGTTTATAAAGGATCTCCCTGAGGGAGTTAGAAAGGAAATGATATAGAAATGATCCTGGATCAGGCAGTGTCCAATAGTAGCTACCAAGGTGCACTATTTCCCTAGGATAGCTTGACTGCAAATTAGAGTAACCTATGATGACATGCCCCAGAGCATTTCTTTTTTCTTTTAATTGATTTTTTTTCCCAATGAACAAAATTCCATTTTCTCTCTCTCACTCACACCCCCATCTTTATACCACTGGAAAAGAAAAAGAAAAACAAAATCCCTGTAACAAATACACAAAGTCAAGGAAAATAAATTCCCATGCTGGTCATGGGGGAAGGGGGACAGCAGTGCACACACACATTTTCCATCAGGAGGTAGGTAGCCTGCTTTATGATTGTCCCTCTGGAATAATGTTTGGTAATTACTCTAATCAGATTAAGCCTTTCAAAGTTGTTTGATTTTATAATGTTGTTGATGTATAAATTGTTTTCCTAGTCCTGCTCAGTTCCTTTTTTATCAGTTTATACAAATCTTCCCAGGTTCTCTTAGGTCTTTTTCTGTCTCTTGAGGTATCTATTGCAACATCAATGACTAACTTCTATTAAAGTTTTTCATCATTTAGCATTTCATTTCATTTCATCCATATTTTGTTGAACCCTTCCCCAATTGATGGATACCTCCTTAGTTTCCAGTTGTTTGTTGCTATAAAGAGCTGCTATAAATATTTTTGTACGTATGGGTCCTTTTCTTTGATCTCTTTAGGGTATAGGCCTACTTTTGCTGAGTTAAAGCATGTGTACCATTTAATGACTTTGGGGGCACAGTTCCAAATTGCTTTTCAGAATGGCACCACCAACTGCGCATTCATGTGCCAGGCTTCCCACGATCTTGTCATTCTCCATTCTTACCAATTTTGCCAATATGATAGGTGGAACTTCTAAGTTACTTTAATTTGTATTTCTCTAATTATTAGTAACTTGGAACATTTTTTTTTATCAAATGGCATGTAATAGCTTGCCATTTGTCCACTGAAAACTGCCCATTCATATCCTCTAACCATTTATCAATTAAGGACTGGCTCTTATTCTTATAAATTTGAATCAGTTCCTTAAATATTTTGGAAATAAATCCCTTATCAGAGAAACCTGTTACTTTTTTCTTTCCAATTACCTATTTCTCTTCTAATTTTAGTTGCATTGATTTCATTTTATGTAATCAAAATTGTGCCCCTGGGCCTTTCTAAACTAGGGGAATCAAGGATGCATCAGAACCCATAAGTCTTCCTTCTATCATCTTTTTGTCCTTTCTGTTTCTATAGTTTTCATCTTAATAAGCAACTAGATGCTCTCCTTTGCAACTTTTGCTTTTTACCCAACTTTCTTCCTCTCTGCCTCCTTTTATCAGACTGACATACAGAGAAATATATTTTTGAATTTTTAAAATATTTAATGAGTTTCATGTTACCCATTCATAATTTTCAAATGTTCACGTTTTCAAATAGTTATGCCCCTATCTTTCAAAGAATCATTCCCAAATCAGTTGTTGCCTTAAATTTCCACATGATTTGCAATCAATTCTTTCTTTTCAGTCACATGCACTCCTTACCATGTCCCAATATTTGCGGGGATGGCCTGTCTGGACTATTTTGATTAAAGCTTTAAGAAAATAACTTAAAATGGTACATTGTGAAAATTCTATCTAGTGCTCAAGTTCAGGGGATTCCATATTTGTTGGAATAACTGTAGAATTCATTTTCATTGTCAAAAATAAAATCCTCTGTTGTTAGTGAGAGATGTTTCCTAATAGGCATTTTCTGGACAGTTGATGGATTCACTCAAAGTTAAGCTTAAGTAAACTGATTGTGGTCGTTTTCTCTAGAATATGATGTTGCAATAGATACCTCAAGAGACAGAAAAAGACCTAAGCACCCTCAATTAAGAAGGGTTGGAGCCTTTATCAGCCTCTTAACTATCTTCTCTCTATAGGAGTTGTTCAGCTATTATAAGTTCAAAGTGTTATATGTTACATTTCAAAAAGACAGCTATATCTTTTCTCAAAATAGACATAGTATCATTCCAAGGTACTGTTCATAAAGACCTAAATACATATGTATATTTAAAAAAGAAAACTCATAATGACACTTTCAAAATACAATTTTATTTGCAATTTGGCCTCCAGAATTAGTGAGTTATAAATCTCTGTCAGGCATTAACAGTCAGAAGAATATGCCACTGGTTCAATGAAAGGGGACTATGGGAGGCCACTAAGTGGCTGAGTGCTGGGCCTGGAGTCAGGAATACCTGAGTTCAAATCCAGCCTCAAATATTCACTAGCTGTGTGACTCTGGGAAAGTAATTTAATTTCTGTTTGCCTTAATTCACTGGAGAAGGAAATGGCAAACCATTCCAGTGTCTTTGCCAAGAAAACCCCATGGACAACACTGACATATTATGGGGCTCACAGAGTCACAAAGAGCTGAATACCTGAACAATAACAAATGGGTAGGCAGAAGTATAGAATGGGAATTTTGCTACAGTAACATTCTCAGGGTAGAAAAGGCCATGTGCTGTTAGCCTTAAGTATTATTTTAGTGATAACAAAGGAAGAGAAAGGAAACTCTGAATCACAAAGCTTAAGAGATACAGAAAACTTCCAAAATGTGCCAAAGATGTTAAAGCAAACAAAAAATAACATATTCCAGAGAAAGAAAGAGAGAGATTTAATATCAAATGAATCTATAGACAAAATTATGACAATGATTATGAGAAGGGTGAAGAAGAATAAAAAAATGAGTTTATCTCTCATTACAGATAAATACAGTAAGAGTAGGCATTTTGCTCTGCAATGTATAAAATCTAGTGTAATGAATCACATCACAAAGGTGACTTTTTATATCTCTTATAACTCCCCTGATCAGGCTTTGAACATGATGACACACATATCTGAGGCTGTACTCTGAAAGTGGATGGGAAAGTGCCAACTCATGTGTTTAGAGGAGTTACGTTATGTCATGGGCCCTGAAAAAGAGTCTTTTTTCCCTTTTACTTTTTTTTCATTAACACATATTTATGGAATAAAACAATCATTTCCTTAACACAGTACAATAAAAGAGATGATTGTACATAAAACTGCAAATCTACTAAGGCACAACTTGCTATTCCTTTCAAATATACCACAAAATTATCTTGTAAATTTCTTTTTTTTTTACACCCTGCCTCCCTCACTCCACACTAGAGATGGCTTCTTTTAAAGTCTACAGAACAGTACGGAAGCTCTACCCCTCGATGCTGTTATAGCAGTGCTGAAATTAGCATGATTCAGATATTTTTGCATAGATTTACAAACTTTTAAAATTACCTTGGTGCCCAACTTTCAATATTTCCTGCAATTTATAGTAATTGTGTGTCTTTCTTCAACAATTGCTATATATTTTTTTAAAGTTGCGTTGTGGAATATGCAACACTTAAGAAAAATTTTGATTGATTCTTGACTTTAAAATCAGATGTCCCTGATGATTTCTTATAAAATAGCAAAAATGTTCCATTTAAATGTGGTAAAAGCAATGAGCACACTGACAGAAAATAGAGCTTAATTCCACTAAATGGTTTGATAAAGAAATCAGTCAAGCCCTAAAGGGGGAAAAAAAAGGTCAATTTTTTTAAAAGATGGAAAATTCACAGAAACAGGAATAAGAAAATGTAATCCAGATGTTCTCCCATTATCTACAAATATATATGAATTAAAAATTCAGAAGAGAATTGTAAGCAAGAGAGGTGGTTTAGCATGAATGAACACAGAGCTAACCTCACACTCAGGAAACTGGTTCAAGTCTCCTCTCTGACACATACAGGCCATGTGACCTTGGGCAGCATGCTACACCTCTCTAAGATTCTAGGTTAAAGAGACTACACAAAACTACACTAGTGAAATAACAGAATCAGTTAAAGAACAATTCAAAGCAAAACTAAGGAGACAAATGCATTTCTAGACTTGAATTTCAGTCACCGTAATTCCAATTATCATCATCACAATCACACTTAGCATTTATATAGCACCTACTATGTATTTGGCATTCTGTTAAGCACTTTGCAAATATCTCATTTAATTCGCACAGCAACAAAGTAAAGTATGTACAGTTATCATCCCCATTTCACAGCTGGGGAAAGTGAGGCAAACAGAGATTTAAGTGACATGCTCAGGGTGACAGTTAGTAAATCCCTGAAGTGAGATTTGAATTTAGGTCTTCCTGACTCTAGACCTAGTGCTATCTATCTATTATACCACCTAACTGCCCTATGTCTATAAGCAAGTATTGGCTATTTCCACTTCTATTATTTCAGATTATGCTCTTCAGTTCACTTTCACAAAAACAAGATCAGAAAATCAGAAAATTATCAAACAATGAATTTAATTGATATTTACTTCAGTTGATAAATACAATTAGCTAGCAGGTTACTCCTCTTACTTACCTAGAATATTTTCATGCCTTAGTAATACAGTGTTATATAATTCTGTTTCTCTGAACCAAGATTTCTCATCCCGGGAGGAGAATATCTTTACAGCAACATTTTCTCCTTGCCAATGGCCTCGCCACACCTCTCCATATCGGCCTTTTCCTGATAAAGGCAAAGCAAAGGTGATTTTGATCAATGGGTTCCATTAGAGAAAGCCAACTCCAATTAGCTCTCAAAGGTCCTAAGTGGTTACAAACTAAATTAAACTTTAAAAACAAGTCAATAAAATTAATGTCTGCAACTCCTGGTTGTTTATATCGTTTACCTTGAAAACCAATTTCTCCAGTTACCGTAAGCCTTTGCCTATAACATATGCAATAAGACAGGAAACAATTCACCCATCCTCAATATCTTCTAAGCCCTGCATACAGTCATGAATTGTTATTCAATTTTAAAAGTGTAAGATAATAATTACTATCATCAAGGTTGAAGGAACTGAATAATAAGCCATCACTTAGAATCATGAAGAATTCTATTCTAGTCTTACCTCTATGACATGCTGGCCTTATAAACCTGGACAAGTCATTTAACCTCTCAGTATCCCCACACAACTAAGGTGATATGATGCAGAATAGCTACGTCAATGAAGGGTATTTCCCCAAAAGGATTTCTAAACACCAACTGAAAACACAGATCCTAATAAAAAAAAAATACTGTGACTGACTTTTATATAGCACCTTAAAGGACTAGGGCCTGGACCTAATGATTATGAGCTAGGGAAATCCCAGGGGAGGAAACTCCTACCAAAGCAGGTTTGAACCTTCTCTGCAACTTAAAATCATAGAGAGTTGCCTAAGGCACTAAGATGTTAAGTGATTTTTCCCAGGGTCACAAAACCAGTATGTGTCAGATGAGACAGGTATTCCAAGCTTCCAGGTTAGCTCTCTAAAAATTATACCACACTGCCTCTCGTGCAATGCCTTAAGAGGTATGTAAATCAGCAGAAAGTTTGGGAAGCTCTAAGTGAAGAAAAGAAGAAAATTCTACTGCTGTTACTGGGGTAGCAGCAGGCAGAAATTACTCGTGTTCATACACAGTTGAAGAGTTCACTGTGACAAAGGGAAACAATATTAAAGTATACTAAAGTATAAACTGGGGACTGGAAAGAAGGAAAAAAACCTTCACTGAAGAGGAAAAATAAGTATTCTTGAAATGCTTTAAACGGCATGTTCTCAAAACAGAGTCTAATATTGAGACCTGCTATGACTATTTGCTTTCTTGACAGCACTGATGGAGCCAGTAATGAACAGTGCATTACATACAACACTGGAAAGGCCCCATGAACTTTTAAGTTTCTGAACACCTTCACTGTACAGTTGTGACTTGACACTAATGGTACATGACCCAGTCCTACAGAATCAATACACCCATCTTTGCCTACCACCAGCTTTTTTTTTCATTATTTAAGGGAAATATATTGACCTTAAGTATTAACAACAAGCATAATTCAAGAGTGAAAACACATACATATGTGCACAAGTATAGAAAAATACATGCACACACATTCAGTACTCAATTTAGTAGCATATTCTTGCTAGAGATATAACTTGAAAGAAGTGCTCTTCCTTTCTTTGGTGCTGTAGGATTTCTCCCAAGGTTACGTGGATTCTGGTATTTGATTCTATGTTTGTGATAACACAGTTATCCCTTCCATGTCACAGGGGTTAGAGGCAGGCTTTCCTGCAATCTGGAAAATCCACATAAAATTTTTTGGCCCTTCCTTCATACCAGAGAAGTATGAGGTGTTTACAGTACTTTATTGTAAAATTTGGGTTAGGTGTTTAGTCATAGGCTCTGCATCGTTTGTCATCAGCAGCTGCCACAGAACTCCCCCAAAATTCTCGTTTAATTTCTTATGCTGACCCACACTATCCTGAAACCATGATGGGGGAAAAAAAATCATGATGTGGAAGAGATAACTGTAGGTGTATTGCCGCTAGGGTACATATTACTATGACTACTGGCTGTTTCCTTGTTTCTTAAGTACCTACGCTGTGGAAATTGCTAGAGCTAAAATGGCTCATGATAGTCTGCTGACTCTGGACTGTACCTTCATCCATTTAATAGAGTTAAAATAATCTTGCCATGGGAGGTATACTGATACGATGGACCATGTGTAACTGAAGGATTAATTGTGATCCAAGTCATGAAATGTCTCATAATCTCTACTCTCTTTCCAGTCTTCCCATCACCCTCATTTATAATTGCACGTGCAATAATCTTTGCTTATGGCAACTTATTCAGCTATGTGCTAATACTCTAGTCATCTTTGCCTCTTAAGAGTGCTGAGACTACAGCTAGGTTTTCTGGGCATGATGGTTTGTTGGCTCATAGAATGTTTGCTAAACTCAGTGTCTGTTGAATTGAATTTTCAGTTGCTATATACTAGTGTTCAGTTCAGGGGTAGGGACCACCCCACCCCATCTCCTAACTGATCTACATCTCAAGGTTTAAGCTTTGGCTTTTCAAAACGCAGTCAAAAGGAAGGAAGGACACAATATCTAATTTTTTTTTGCTTCTATCAGCAAGAATAGTGCCAATTCTCTTAGAGCATGCCTCAATCCCTACTCCTCCTTTGAATTTTCTATTGAAATGTCTACCAAATGTATCTGGAGCCAAGTACTTTTAGGAGCTATGCAATTTAAAAAATGAAGTCCGCTGCTCCTGCAGTTATTTTTAAAGCCTCTAGCATCCTGGTGGAGAGCCAATACCATTTTTAAGATGCCTTAGACACTTTTCCTGGGCTCTAGTACATGATCTGTGGCAGGAGAGCAAGTTTTGTGGAGCACACATCAAAGAAGTAATCAAGATTGACCACTTTACTCTCGAAGCTTGGGGGAAAACAGTTGGCAATATTCCCATGTAATTTGAAGTATGGAATGAAAATCATAAACATTTAACATTGTCATCCTCTATCAGATATCCAGTCCATTCAGTATAACACTGGTTCTTCTCCTGATTTCTGTAAGGTATTAAAATCTCAGCAGACTTTTCAGGGAAAAGACAGTAACCAGCCTAGAAATCTTCCAAATGCAATTTGGAAATTTGCTTATAAACAGTAATCTACTGGATGAATTCTACTGTTTTTTTTATTAAACAAACTCAATTTTTCATTTCTATTTCTAAAGTTCTATTATGCAATTCCCATTTTTTCATTCAAAAAAGCTTCTAATTGAAGAGTGTAGAGAGCTTTAGTCTTATCAAATTGTTTTGACATGTCCATATTTATGATAGCCCTCATATCAAAGAGGAAATCCATGAAAGACTGAACATTATTGAATTTTTAAAAATCCTCCATAAAAGCTACTGAAAATCAACAAACTTTAAGTCAAGACCCTTAGGAGTATTTTCCATTCAGAAGATGTTACTAAAAATTTAAAAAAAAAGTAATAAGATAGCATTTATCTAGCACCATAATACTTAACAAGTATTTTTACATACACCACATGTAAAATAACCAGCATTTATTAAATGTTTACCAAAAACATTACTATGCCCATTTTACAGACAGGTAAAATGAAGCTGCAAAAGTTAGATGACTTGTTCAGATAGTCATAACTAGTAAAGAATCTAAGGGACATTTTAAAATCTGAATCTTCTTTAATCAAAGGTACATGAATACCTACTGTCATGAATGGTTAAAATTACAACTAGGGAACGCATGAACCCCAAAATCCAAAATGGCAATTCAGTTTTACAGGAAATTAGACAAAGATTTTTGGACTTCAGACAAGTCCATGCTGAATGTTGTCCTCCATTCTCAAAGAGGACCAAAGTCCATGCTATGCTAAGTGGTCAAGACTTGCCTCCTAACATAATTTTAATGGGCAAAGATGAGAACCAAATTTCCCACCTCTCATTCCATTATCTATTCTCAGAAGAAGGCAAGGAAGAAAAGGGAAAAAAAATAAAACTGTTACCCACCTACACACTCCAACAGTGTAATCTGACGAGCCACGGTTCTTTGTACGAGAAAAGGAAGACCAGAGCCACTTCCTGACGTACAAGAATGATCCATTAAATCCTGTGGTTTGAAACAAGGAGAAAAGAGGACCATTGGGAAACAGCTAAGAGCAATTTCTCTTTATTCAATAAAAGAATACAAGGACATAAGCATGCATGTTATCAGTTGCTGACGGGATGTACTCATGAATGAGAAATAACATAATGAAATTTCCCTTTAAAAAAAAAGCCAACCCGAATCTGCTTCTACAAATGAAGTATGTACTCAAAAAATATATATGTATATATTTTCTTGGTTACCAGTTGCAGAGAGTTTTCCTTTTCACTCAGAGTCAGCCAAGGAGAGATGTCTTCCTAAACACAGTGACAAGTTGGTGGAAAATCTCTCATTTGAAGCAGGGACATAGTATCCTTACATAGCCAATTGTGGAACCATGTAAATGGTGGTAATAATGGCATGAAAGGAGGCAGCATTCCAAAAACCTAATTGTTTTCCAAAATACTTTAGTGAAGGGGTAAAGTGTTAATAGTTTTGATCATATTTCATCTTCTTTCATGTCCTCTATACCACTGGGATACACTAGCAATCACCAAACTTACAAAAAGGCAAGCAACAATAAAAGGGGCAGAAAAATGAGACTCTTAAGAGATTAGATAAATCATAAAATGGATAATCAGGGGTTGCCTAGAGTTCAAAAAGCTTATTTTGAATTCTTCTGATCCATAAATAGTTTGCTATTCATTTTTCTCTCTTCATATTATTATTCCTTATGAGTTTAACCTTTACAACACAGCTAAGAGATTCTTGTTGAAGTTATTAGCTTTCTTTTAAATAATCAAACTTTCTAATTTGCCAAACAGTAACTACACCTAGTCTCATCCGAGGAATAAGCCACGCATTTTAGTTTTGTAAGGCAATTCACCAGTGGGTAAATATAATTTCGGCCAAGAATTTGCAAATGGATATCTCATTTAAACGAACAAGTCAACAGACTGCAATTCATGACAGTTTCTATATCTTGTTTTTAAGAGTGTTTGTCAAACTGGTACCATATCATGATTTCATACTGTCATTTCATCTGATTGACTTTAAAAGACTATTTTGGGACACATTTCCATCCTTCTTCTTAAATTGTAAAAGCTATTTAAACAGTAATTTACACTAGCTGTTCCTATCACTGCCCTTGGTAATTAGTTCTATGTTAGCAGCTCTGAGGAATGAAGCTCTGTCTAATTTATTTTAGCACCCTACTTTGCCTAAGCTTTGTAAGAATTCCCTCTAGTCCCTTCTGTTTTCACTAACCTGATAAATTCATCTAATTTCCCTTAGAACTTGAGAGATCTTAAGTGCATTTCCTTTTAAAGAACATAATCCCCAGTCTTGAAATTGAATACATCCTCTTTCCAGGGTGCTGTCAGGCACAGACTAAAGTAGATGGGTGGAAATATGTCCAACATAGGCAAGAGATACAGGAGTGGTAGTGGGGTGGGGTGACTCTAGGCCTATCCCCATTTACCCTCAGAGGTGGAATGCCCCAGCCCCAGGACTTCAGGGTTTTGGGAAGTCTAGTTTACTTGGTGAAATTAGCAAAAGCTTTTTGCTTTTTGTAAGAATACTAAGTTAGCTGATATCCCACCTTAAGAAAAAACTATTACTGAAATGATATTCCAATAATTTCTTCCTAAAAATTTCTCACTTATACACTCTAATTTAATCATCTTGGAACCCCTTAATAACTTATTACTTGTGGATTTACTCTATATTCCTTAGAGTAGGAAGCATATTAAGAATTCCTTTGAAGGAATACATTTCACTTTCCATATCTTTCTTAATGAGAACAGTCAGTCTAGGAAATCTGAGGGAATCTACCCTTTGCGTTTTAAAATCAACACAAGCTTTAAGGTATTAGTGTCTATGAAAAAAATTACCTGAAAAGTTCTTGTAAAACAAAAAAGTTTGTATTTCAGAAAAGCTGGATTTTAGAAATAGCTGTTCCAGGCCCAGAGTTAAAAAAAAAATGGGGAGAATTTAAAACATGAAAATGCACCCTTATATCCCAACCTCTTACAACAAAATTCATGTGTTGCATAAAGCCCACTATTTGCAGATAGTGTTCAATATGGTACAAATGACTTCCTATAGAGCAAAGAGTGCAAAAGAATACATTGGACATTTTAGTACCAAAAGGCTCTAACCAGGAATGAACTGGCTTATTTACTACTAACATTCTTATCAATATTTTTAAACTGTGTTTAAAAAAAAACCCTGGAAGATACTGACAGTTCTTTTAAAATGTTTTCATCATAAAAACATGAAAGAGAGAATTTCAGAATGTTTTAAATCCTTTTAAATGACCCTCTTTTAACCATTCAAAAAGTTTCATCACTCCACAAGGTGGCAGCACGGGATATGGAAAACTTTCTTTGCTCCTCTAGAAGACAAGTTTTTAGAGCTTAGCAATTAGGGGTTAGGTTGCAATAAATGAAAGGCAAAATAATTTGGGAAGGATCAAGTGAGAGAGTAGGGATTTTAAATGGTAGACAAGCAAAGGGAAAAAAATAATCCTAAAAAAAGGAATCTATTTAGAAGAAAAATGAAACTCTCCCCTCAGTTAACTATAAACATCTATCCAAGTTTAATGTCACACGACTGCAAAACAGTAATGTAACAGTGAACATAAGCTCACAACATGAGTGATTTGTACAGCATGCACAGCTCTGGGCAATTTTCTAAAACCAATCTATTTTTTCATATATATATATATATATATATATATATAAAATTTTACCAAGCACAGTTACTAGCCAGTACTTGGTTTCAAGGAAAAGAATACAATGCACCTTTTTTTTCCCTTCTGTTTCAGCCAGCCCTTGTGGTTTGTTTTGTTTTGTTTTTTAATTTCCAGCCCCATTAGAAACTCACAGCTAAGGTGCTATCGCCAACATTTGTAGTGATGAGTCCATCAATGGTGCCATATTCCACTTCTCTAGGGTTAAGCCGCTCCTGATTGCGTTTTTTAAACTTCCGAATGCCCACAACCAGTAGAATAACAAAAAGGCATGCTGCTATAGAAAGGCCTATAAAGATGGCCATATAATCCAGGCTGAATCGTGAATATCCTCCTGGGAAGGATTTCCCTAGAGAGAAAAAGGTAATTAATTAGCCAAAAGGATCACTATTTGCTTGGTTTATAAAGGATATTTCTTAACAATAAGCTTTATTTTAAAAAAAAACACAAGGCATATCCTTCTTTCATCATAAAACATTACAAAGGGGAAAAGCCATTCCAAATTCTAACATTCAACAACCCAACCAATAAGAATAAAATTCTGGTTTGAAAGGGGGGGAAAATCTACTCCAAACTAGATAATAAACAAGTAAGCATTTTTTAAACTTGACAAAACAAAAACAATTGTTATTAAGAAGAGAATTTGACCTGCAGAGCTCTTCGCCTTCTGAGCCTTGCAAAACACCAATCTTCAATATTACTATGACAAAGGTGGTTATCTGAAGCAAATAAATTAAATCTGTGGCAGGTTTTCTTCCCCACCTTCCACTTCACTGTGGAAGTTTCTCTCTAACTTCAAATATATCACAGATACACATTGCCACCAAAATCTTCCTCAGACAACATATCTTTGAGACTATTTCTTTCTCTGCTGAGAGCCTACAAAAGCTTCACACTTGTCTATTGAATCAAGTTCAGCCTTACACAATTCATCCTCAACTCCTATCACTTTGCTTCCAGAATTATCTGCTCTGTTCTGGACCTTTACCTTGTGCCTTCACCATGAGTACTGTATATTACTCTTCCTTGTCTTCATTCTTTCCTTGTCCTTCATTATACCCTTTCTACGTTACCAAATCACTCTTGAGCCAAATTTCTTCATGCAGTTTATCACCTAACTATTCAACCCACAACGAAATCTATTTGAGCTACATGATCTCAAAGGTCTTTTCCACCTCTGAAATTCTTTATCTTCTTTCACTTATTTGCAACCCTATAAAAATTAGTGCTTCAGTGTTCTTTCACTTGATAAAATACTGGAGCAGACTTTCAGGTCACATCACCAGCAAGATAGAGGACTAGAAATTTTCTCTGATTCTTATGATCTTTTAAACATCACCAATATAGGAATTATACATAAGAGATAAGGCAATTTCCACTCTCTTAATGGTTTAGGACATTAAGAACCTTAATAAGGCAAAAATCTAGCAAACTAACAGGTTTATTGTTGTTGGTTAGTTATTTTTCAGACATGTCTGATGCTTCATGACCCCTTTTGGGGTTTTCTTGGGAAAGATCCTGGAGTCGTTTGCCATTCGATTCTCCAGTTCATTTTACAGACCGGGAAACTGAGGTAAACAGGGTTAAATGACTTGCCCAGGGTCACACAGCTAGTATGTGAGGCCAGATTGGAATTTGGGTCTTCCTGACTCTGACTCCAGGTCTGGAACTCTGCCTACTGTGCTACCTAGCCACCCCAGTAGAGAAGGCTAATCCTTAACCTTTAAGTCATTTATATAACACCACTCTCCCCCCCTATCTCTCATTTCCCATGAGGGTGGAGTTGCATAAACTATCTATGAGCTTGCAATGGAACGCAACTACTCCTCCATCCTCCCAATGAGGCAGAATAACAAAAAGCAAAGAAATTTGTCCTGGCTAAGACAGCAGCATGGCCATAGGCTTGGTGCTGTTAGAAAGGAATGGGAACTAGCATAGGACACTAATGGATGGCTGTATGGCACTCCACTAAGCCTGAAGTAAAGAGCCAAGCATCCAGCTGGGGCCAGTTTCTTCCCTTCTAGAAGTCACTTGGGACAAAGACAGAGGTTAGTGAAATGTAGGAGGAGTCTGAGAAGGCTTTGAGGTACAGCCTCCAAGGAAACCCCCATCAAAGTGTAAGAATTGGAGAGTGAGCTATATGGGGATATAAGCAAAAAAAGAGTGAAATTACCAGAAATTTCAGGAATAAGAAAATTCTGTTGAAGACACTGGCTAAGGTTAAGAAGTGAATGTGGCCTCTAAATCAGCTAAAAGAGTCCAGATGCCTATGAATAAATATTTCAAGACAAAGGAAAGTCAATTAACGTTTCATAAGGCAGAAAGCTCTGTGGATTGTCAAGAGGGCATAGAACTACTGCAGGAAGTTCCTGAATAGTTAAGAGAAATAGAACTGCGAAAGCAAAATATATGGATTACAAAGCCAAAATAATTAGCAGAATGGAAAAACCTGAATTCACAACAGCAGTCTTTTAAGATTTAATATACAAAAGAGAAAATAACTTATTGGAATGCAAATACACAGACGTGAAGGACAATCTAGAAGAGAAACAAAAAGTAATAATGTGAAAAGAAAACAATCTCCATGCAAAACACTGATCTTAAAGCAGGCTATGTAGAGACAACTTCAGGATTATAGGTTTGCAGAAAAACAAAAGTAAAAAAAAATTTGAATATCATAATGCAAGAAAACTTTGTTCAGAACTTCTGAACAAAGAAAATGCACGAATCAAAAGAATCTATAGATTGTCTCCAGGAAGAAAAAAAACACAAAAATCAAAAAACCTATGCTGCAGTATCCAAAATACATATTGGTTAAATTTAACAATTCCAATGACCAACAACAAATTCTGTAAGAAAGCAAGGGAAAGATCTACAAATGTAAAGGAAAGGAAATTCAAATACCCCATATTTTTCTGCTGTGACCAGAAACTGCAGGAGGGAATGGAGTTATGTATTTTGAAATACAAAGGAGCTCAAGATTCGACCCAAAGTGAGCTATCCTGCAAACCTAAGGCCAACACTTAATGGGGAGACTGAGGTGGGAGGGTAAAAGAACACCCACTAAAAAGAGGCATTCAAAACATTGCTAGAAAGAAAACTAGACCTAAGTAAACCATTTGCTTTTCAAATACTTCAAACAACAAAAATATAAGCAAGGTAAACAAACACAGCAACTAAGAAAGAACAAAGTAACAACAGAAGGCCCATTAAGAGATTTCTTTCTAAAAGTACACATGAGTGAAAGCAAAAGGCAAACACAAGTAACAGTGGAGAAATAGGACTGAAACATCATGGACTAAGACTCATAACATGCAGCCATCGTGTGAATTGGTAATCATCTTGAAGGACCAAATGGCAGAATGGGAGGGAAGGGGGGAAAAAAGTTGGATGTGATGAGGAAGATAGAGGGGAATATGTGATATTCCCAAATGAAGTCAAAGTTAACAATGAAAGGAAAATAACTCTTGTAGTCTCTAAGGAAGAGAGCCTCCTGGACAATGGGCAAGGAGGCAAAGAGAGGGAAAGAAAGGAAGAAATCTTATTTAGAGGTGGTAAAGAATACCACTGATGAATGCTTCCATGACAGAATTTCTATGAAGAGAGATGGGGACTTTGCAAATGGGTGTGATCTACAAGGATTTGATGTTTTAGACCACACATCTTGCCCCAGTCTTGCCCTAGGAGAAAGAGAATTGGAAATCCTGGGAGCATCTGAGAGTCCAAGGAGTGGTAGGGCAAGAATATAAGGAAGAGATTTCATGGCAAATGAGAAAAACATGCCCATGAGGAGGACAAAGGTTAGTAATGAACTGAATTATCAGCAACATAGGAAAATTCCTACCATGAAGCGATACTCTTTCTATCACCTGTGGGAACTGATATTTATAAGAGTATGGCACAACAAAAAAAAGGAAGCCAGGGGCAAAGTCTAAAAATCAGAACACAGAAACTTTTTACAAGAAGGAACCCATATTAGATCCCATAATTCTGTAAGGACTACAGAGACTAAAGAAGAATGAAATAAGTATAAGGGTGATGAACCAAAGAATAAAAGATTCTAGAGCAGATAGAAAAGAGAAGGAAAAAAAATGAAGGGAATAAAAGAACAATGACATATTGGATCATACCTTTCTCTAGTAGTTTTGTGTGAATCTAATTTTGTCTCTATGACTAGAAACTCCACAAACATGTCTTTTCTGCTGAGAAGGAACATGATGTAGCAAGAAGAGCATTCACAGGACTAAATCAGAAGAGCTGGCTCAAGCCACTTGACCAGCTCTACTTCATTTAGCAGTTTCTTAAACTCTTAGTGAAAGTTTCACCTTTTTCTATACTCTGCCTAATTCACAAGACTGTCCTGAGGATCAAACTAGCTAATACATGTGGCAGTCCTTCATAAAAGGTAAAATGCTATAAAAAGGGTACAGCATTATTACCACATCTTTATATTCTGCATGGGCACTTCTCATGCATGAAGAATTTGCTAAGCTATTTGCATTAGGAAGACATTTCCTCACACAATTCAATATATACTAAGAACTTATTTATTCAGCTTAGGCTTATTTTGCATATAACCAAAACACATGTATATGTATGTATGTATACATATGTACATACATATATATATATGCCATTTTTTTTCTTTTAACTACTTATGGTGGAAATCTATCTGAACAGCAACTGATTAATGAAGTTCAACTTTTTTTGATGACTAAGGGTCATCAAACACACTCAGCCCATAATACCCCAACCCTCCAAAGTGTAATACAAACCAGATTAAAATGTAGTTCCTATCTGATTTTAATGTGTTGATATATCTATATCTCAATATATATGTGGGGCACCTAGTTGGCCCAGTGGATAGAGTGCCAGGCCTAGAATCAGGAAGACTCATCTTCATGAGTTCAAATCCACCTCGCACCATTTATTTACTAGCTATAGGATCCTGAGTAAGTCACTTAATCCTGTTTGCCTCAGTTTCCTCATCTGTGAAATGAGCTGGAGAAGGAAATGGCAAACCATTTCAGTATCTTTGCCAAGAAAACCCCAAAAAGGGGTCACATATTAATTTAATTTTGGATATGACAAATGACAAAACAACAACAAAAGACGTGTGTCTGTGTGTATGTGTGTAGATATACACACATATCTATCTCTAGATATAGATATGCAGATACATAGATGTCTATCTCTAGACACAGAAAGGGTATTTCTTCAAGGCAGGAATTTTCCCATGTCCTTGATAGTTCAGTTCACTACTAACCCTTTTCTTCCCTGTGGGTGGCATGCTTTTCCCATATGTATGCGTATATTCATATCTAAATAAATAGGCAGCTGGGTGGATTGATAGACAGATAGTTTTCTAAGTCAATATGTAGCCCACAAGGATCCTTACTCATGATTTAGTGACCACCATCTCTGGGAGAGTTTGACACCACTGATTTACATGAACACCATTATTACAATGTACCATACACAGTACAGTTCTCTTTCTACTTTGTCACTTCTTCTAGTGACATTACTCCTGCTTCTAACATTCCATATCATGCTCTCTTACAAAATTTACCAATGTCAAGAAGACCTAGAATTTGTTTGGACCTGTGACTGTGAGCAGATCAGTTAAACTATCATTGACCTAGGCAACTCGCTAATGCTGCTGACTTATGAGAGCTCCCTATCAGTAAAATCATATGTCCAATAAAAACCAAGAATTAATGAGATTTCTAGCAAAAATTTAAAGACCTGGGATTAAGTGAATTTGGGATTAAAGATTTAGGATTAAGTGACCATGTTATTGTCCTGCTCAAGAATCTTCACTAGCTCTCTATTTCCTTTAGTGTAAAAAAAGGAACTCCTCAGCTAAGCATCTAAAGCCCTGCACATTCTAGTTCTAATCTACTGTGCCATTCCAGACTTATTTCACTTCACTCTCTTTCACACCTTCAACATTCTAACTAAACTTTCCAACATGCTTTTCTCTTAAACACCCATCTCCCACCACTACGCCATTGTACAGCAGGTAGTCTTCTCCTTGCCCCTGCTTCTTGGAATTCCTAGCTTCCTTCAAGTTTTCAAGCTAAAGCTATGTACCAACTGTTAGGGGAAGCCTTTTTTGATCCCTTCCCCTGGTTTTTAATGCTTGCTCCCTTTTCAAATTACCATGTATATTCTTGTCTGTGCATATGGTACATTTGCCTCAGTAAAATGTAAGCTTAATCCTTAAAAAGGCAAAGATTTGTTTTTCATGTTGTCTTTGTATTCTCAAAACAGAACTTTGAACATAGCAAGCCCTTAATAATAGTTCATTGGATTGTCTAGGCTTTATTTAGTGCAGGCATTCTAGGGTTTCTCGGGAAGTGAGGATGCTCCCAAGCATGGAGGTAGCTTCAAAACTGCCCTGCTCCAGAGGAGTAGAATCTTCAGATATTAAGGAACCATTTGTATAAGATCCTCCTATAAAGAATTCATTCAGGTTGCATGTGAAAAATCCCATAGTGCTTCAAGCTTGGAGAGAGATGCAAGCAGATAGTACGTATATAACAGGAAGAGGGGGAAATGGATCTAAGCTTTTCTTTCTTTCCTAGTAATGCATGTGTGCCACTTGGCCAGAGTTCCGGGCCCTCCCTCTTCACCTCAACCCTTTCTTCTCAACACACACACACACACACACACACACACACACACACACACACACACACACACACATACACACACACACACACACACACACACACACACACACACACACACATACACACACACACACACACATATATATATATATATTTATACACCTGATTCCTGGAGAAGTTTTTAGGGGGAATTGTCTGTGGCAGCCGCTGTTTCTCCTTGCCAAAAAAAAAGGGGGGGGGGAATAAAGAAAGTTGGCAGTACTTGGTAGAATAATCCCACCTCAACAGAAAATAATCCCTAAGGCAAATCTCTTGAGTATGAGAGAATCAGACACATCCTAACTGTTTTCAAGTATTTTTACACTGCTTCATTTTCCCCTAACTTCTACCTTCCTTCAGATGCTGAATGATTCACCTCCCCCATTCCCAGCCCTTCACTTTGATCTCAACTTGCCATCACAGGAACCAAAATGAGGGCAGTGTAGGGATGGGGAAGTGTATGGGGAGACATGGGTAGAAGTATTACCTTTCGAAGTTGGTAGCTGGGCTGTGATATTTCCATTGCACCAGTTTCCCTGACAGCACTCCACAGCTTGGTCAGGGGATGGTGGAGTCTTACAGGTCATCTTCCCCTGCTCATACACTTGGAAGCATCCTTTCTGGTAGACTTGAATACCATCATTTATGCTCAATGAGGCAAAACACTGCTGCCCCTCACAGTGATCCTGATTCCCACAGGATATGCCTTCACACACACACATATATAGGTTTGAATTCAACTTTGGTTCCTCATCTGCAGAAGAGAGAGAAGAGAAAAGAAAATGGTATTTTCTTTCATATGGGTATTGAAAAGTTTCTTCAATCACGTGTGGATAATATAGTTTTGTTTTGTTTTTTTTACTCTTACTCAATTTAACATACCTAGGCAATTACCTGTGGGGAAAGTCACAAGAAGCATCACCTGAAGATACTAATACCCACATTTGGTAGACCTGGGCATGAAATGTGCCTCGTCCCTGAATTCCAAATCATCGGGCAATTCAGTTCAACAAACATTTAAGTGCCTCTGGGATAGATATTGAAGACATGAAGGCAAAAATAAAGCTGCCCCTACCATCAATAAGCTTCTTTTCTGCAAGAGGGTTCTTTTTTTTCCATGTCATAGAACCCATTTGGTAGCCTGATGAGACCTAAACACCCCTTCTCAGAATAATGTGTTGGGTTTTTTAATTTATTTATAATGGAAGAAAATAATAGACTTCAGTTAAAGGTTAGTAAAAACAAAGACGTAAATTTTTCCCATCCACATTTAATAACCCCCTGAAATCTATCCACAGACCTCTAAGTTAAATTCTATGGCAACTAGGTGGCACAGAGGATAGAATACTCTGGGCCCGAAATCAGGAAGACCTGAGTTCAAATTTATCTTCAGACACTTACTAGTGGTGTGACCTTGGACAAGGTACTGAACCTCTATTTGACTCAGTTTCCTCTTGTATAAAATGGGGGTAATAATAGCACCTATCTCCAGGATTGTTGTGAGAAGCTAATGAGATAATATTTGCAAAGCACTTGGTACTGTGCCTGGCACAGAGTAGGCACTACATAAATACTAGCTATTATTATGGGGAAGATATAATGTGTGTATATGTGTGTGTGTGTGTGTTTGTACATATGTACACGCATGCTTGGACAGATCAAAATAATGACAAGTAATTTGAGAAGAAAGGGGACAATAGGTAAGTTGTTAGGTAAGACTTCATGAAGGAGGTGGCACCTGAATTGAACCTTGAAGATAAAGAGAGACAGAGATGAGGAGGAACCACGAACAGTGTCCCAAGTGGGAGCTGAGGAGCAGTTGTATCTGGTGTGGGAGGAGGTTGGGGGAAAAAAAGTGGGATGCCAAATCCAATAAGACCTTTTAATTAATTGTTCTTTAAAAGATTGGTTTTCAGATTCAGTTTTTCAAATCACTGCATCATTTTTTCCTGGTTAAGTGAGTAGTTCAGACTTGCTAGTACTAACAGCTTTGGGTGCAGATGGCAGAGGAAAAGAGCAAGAGGGAGGGAGGAAGAGGGAAGAAAAGAGTTATACAGAAATGAGAGCATGAGAGGGGGGAAGGGGGAGAGAAAGAGCCAGATAGAAACAGAGAGACAAAGAAAGACCAAAAAAGCCCAACAGAGATAGAGACAGGGACAGAGAGACAAAAAGAGATAGTCACAGAGACAGAGAGAGAGGAGAGAAGAAAGAGAAGAAGGGAGAGAGAGAGAGAGACAAGAAGACAAAGAAGAGAAAAAGAAGAGAAAGAGATAGAGAGGGAAGAGAGAAAGAGAGACAGAGAGAGAGAGAGAGAGAGAGAGAGAGAGAGAGAGAGAGAGAGAGAGAGAGAGAGAGAGAGACAGAGACAGAGACAGAGAAGACTGCAAGAGGCCAAATCTTTGGAAGCTGCTAAGTTGAAATCCTGTTCAAATAAGGAAATTCAACTTTCAGAGCTCACTCTCAAGTCCTAAATTAGAAAGGGGCTGAGTTCTGTCTATTGTTGAATGCTTTGTAGTAGACTCTGTGGTACAGCTACCTCAATCTATTTTGAATCTATCTTTTAAAAGGCAGTTTGGGGTGACTGTGCTTTTAAGAGATGACCCCAGTGAGATGTATTAAAATACTTAGAGATACAGCAGGGGACTTGGAGGAAGAGGCCACAGAGAGGGAGTGGAGAGAGACTCAGAAACGGCAGAGAAGGAACATTTACCTTCTCTCTTCCCTCTTTGGAAAGAGGTAAAATAAAAACAAATTGCCCGCTATAGCACAAACATCATGCCTCCACAGGCACCACCCCATGAAGGAGGTACACTCTATTTACAATCAATGTGATAGCTCTTTTGAAAAACCCCAAGAGACTCTTCCAATGGCAAATGAGTTTGGAATAACATCCAGAATAGCCACTGACAAAGCTATGTATGTCACTGGTCTCACCACCCAAAATCTGGAACTCACAGACTATATTAATGAGGAATGATTTTCACAATGAAGAAAGTATTCCCTTTTTCTCCTCCCTTCAAAAATGTGACAGAAATCTTCTCAGCATCAGTATTTGAATCAGGCTACAGAACAAATAGGTCCCTTATTATATGAAGCATAATATAAAATGATCCCACTATACCATCCCCTCCTCCCCCAAAAAAAAATCAGGTATGAAAATCATAATTTCAAGGTTCATAGAAATTTACCCCTATTTTACTAATACCATTAGGCATATTTGTATATTTATATATGTGTATGTGTGTGTTTTTAATGTCAATCATTCCCTAGTAATCTCTAATCATCAGACTCTTTCTTGTAACAAAGAAAGACAGTTAACAAAAAAGATAAAGTACATTTGACTTTTAACACTTCCCACCCATATCCCTACCCCCCCAAAAAAAATTGTTCATCCTTTGTTTTTGAAGAGGACTAATGACATCATGGGGTGATGTCTTGACTTGCACATGACACGGATTTAAATGAGGCAGAGTTGCACAGTCATTAGCTTTACTCTCTCCTTCAGAGTCCTGTTGCAAGACAAAAATCAAGACAACTGGTGACAGCCTGGGTGCGGCAGATAGCCCTGGCTCTTTTATGTCTGACCAAGCTCAAAGCGCTCTGCAGCACCTGTTCCAGCCATCTTCATGGCCATTGGAACAAACTGTTCTCATCTGCCCATTCCATCAAGGGAAGTCATCACATGCTTGGGGTAGACATCTCCCTAACTATCAGTGGGTTTAATCACCCTCCACCTGATTTAGCCCTTTTCAAGGCTACTCATTCACATTTGGTGTCCACCTATCACCCACCTCTCACCTGTAGCTCCAAGAAGATGCAGCATGTGCAGCAGCCACACCCCGATAATCTCCCCAAAAAACTAAAAGGAGGGATGTTATTTCACCCTTTGTTCTGTAAGACTTTCAACCTAAATTAGTTGTCTTTTAGTGGTGATGCATATGTATTACTGTAATTATTATATCTTATGCCTTCTATTTACTCTCAGTTCATACAGGCCTGTTTCTCAAATTTCTTATTTTTGTTGTTTTTCATAGGGCAACAGGATCCTATTATGTTAATATACCAATTTGTTTAGCTATTCCCCAAATTAGGTGGTGAGCATCTAATTTGCTTCCGATTGTTATTTCCCTGCAAAGAGAACTACAATGAATCTTGTTACATATGAGACCTTCCTGTCATTGACCTCCTTGAGGTATGGTGCTACATTAATATTAGCTATTAACAAATAAGGTAAGAAAAAAATTGCTTTGCTTTTTAATTCATTGTAGATGTCATCTTTGGTGACTGCAACATAGAACTCTTAAAAGAGCTGGATTTGGAATAACATAACCTGATCTGTGTTTGAATCCTAGGTCTGTGAGACCAATGCCCTTTCCCTGGACTTTTCAGGTTTTCTCAGTTATAAAATAAGTGGTGTTTGTACCAGCTGACTTCCAAAGTCCTATATCCCTTCTAACTCTAATCTATGATCCTGAAATATGCCACATAGGGGGTGGTGCTGGACCTAGCACCATGGGATGAATAGTTTATAGTCAGTCATCTTTTCCCACATATTTTCAAATGGTGGAAAAGGTGAACCAGTTAAATCTCTATGGGCCTGATGCAAAGTGGAGGTGGGGGGGGGATTTGGTCCAGATGGTCTCTAGAATACTTTCTAGCTTTAGATCATATGAACACTAACAATTCAGGTACATAATCTTTATGGCAAGTCCAGAGTGGATCAATAAGTTTCCAATAAGTAGCTAGAGGGAGAAGAGGAATGCCAACTATTCCATACAATAGCAAGTAAGTGTCCAGAGAAACTGATGGCTTAGTATTGTGTGTATGTCAGGGAGGGGGCGGGAGTGGGGGGATGGATAGAGATCATCTAACCTAATCTAACCTTGACATTAGAAATGAGGCAGCTAAGTGGTGCAGTGCTGGGCCTGGAGTCAGTGCGGTCCAGAGGGTCACAAAGAGTTGGACAGGACTGAACAACAATGCCCTTTTCTGCATGATAGTTATTTACTCATGTCATATCCCCCTTACTAGATTATAAACCACAAAAAGGATAGGGATTATATCATGTATATTTACCTCTTTCCCCAGTGCCTACCAAATGCTTTACATATACATAGAGATAGGGATTTGGACTTGTGATTTCATTGATGTAGGGAACTCCCATAAGAGGGAATTTGCTCTACCAATGCAGATTGGCACCTTCCCTGCAACTTCATACTCTTAGAGGACTGCCAGAGTACTTCCAAGTTAAGTGACATGCCCTGGTCATACAACCAGCAGGTATCAAGTGAGATTTGAACCTAGGTCCTTATGGCTTTAAGGCTAGGATGTATATCCACTCCACCATGTGGCTCCTTGCTTTACAAATTCTAAGTAGGCACTTAATAAATGGTTGCTGAATAAATTAAAAGTCTTTATCTAGAAATTATTTGCCTTTCTTCTGTAGCTGAATAGAGATAACTATCTGAAGTAATAAATTATTCTTGTTCTGTGATGCCAGTGTCAAAGATCTGTCTGTCACTTTCCCAGCTAGAGAAAAGCAGAGACGAAAGGGGGTGGGGCTAGTAAGCATCTATAGTGCTTACTCAAGTACCTAGTATAGAAAGTGGCCAAACATCTAATGCTGAAAAGCAAGTCAGGGCAGATTTGGCAAAGTCATGCCTACTATTTTTCCCCTTTTTGAAAAGCAAGCATCATCCTTCTCCTCTTGTTTTGTGTCTTGCACCCAAACTTGTAAGGTTTTATAGTCCATAC